GGGGGCGGGAGCGTGGCGGTGAGGGAGCAGGGCGAGGCGGAAGGGCAGGTGGCGAATTTTTCAAGCACGTTATATCTATGGGGCTCTTCTGATTGGCTGCTTTAATTTGACCACACCATAGACAGTGTTTGGGATACCATAGATAGTATTATAAGCCGATTCGGTTTATATTTAGTGTGATGGATCGGGTTAGGGTTAGGATTAGGATTTGAGAGTGAGCGTGGCGGGGAGAGAGCAGGGCGGGGAGCGAAATTTTTTTTCCCACTTGAGTTCCGGACCCACCATAGATAGTGTTTTGTAATATATGGTTCGTATATTATATATGGTTGGATTATAGTTAGTGCTAGGGTTCGGTTACGGGTTAGGGTTAGGGTTAGGGTTAGGTATAGGTGGTATTCATTTTACATTGTTGCTTCGAGGTAATCGAGTGAATGGAGTGCGCTGATTGGCTGTGGTCCGGAACTCAAGCGGGGAAAAATATTTCGCCCCCAGGACTCCACCCGTCAGTGCAAGCGCACACGGTATCAGAGTCTACAGTTTCCAGGGGCGTGTACAGGGAGGGGGGGTCCGAACCCCCCATGCTCGCGCAGAAAACGCATCTGAGGGGTGCTAATTTCAAAAGACCCCCCTTTCGCGTGCTCCTAACACCCCCCTTTCGAAAATCCTGCGTACGCCACTGCGACCAACCCCACTATATACGGACACTATAACCCCATCAAGTCGGACAAGAAACCCCATACTGCTGAACTTCCCCATTACTTTGAAAGTTATGCAAAGGGTTTGACCAACCCCGCTATGTACGGACAAGAAACCCCATACTGCTGAACTTCCCATTACTTCGAAAGTTATGCAAAGGGTTTGACCAACCCCGCTATGTACAGACACTATAACCTTATAACGGGGTAGAAACCTAACTTTTGAACAAGGGTGTCCAGCGGACTCCCGGGACCCTCAAAAAGAGGGAGTCCGCAGCAAAATGAGGTTCAAAATTAAAGCAATAACGCATGTGCCTATTTTTAAGATTCATGCAGTTGCACGTCTGCCAAATTTTCTTTGGACATTAGCTAAAAAAATACAGTAATTCAGCGAGGCCGTGCTCCGGAACGAACTAGTTAGTATGGCAGAATTTTCAGGGAGTCACACGGACTCTTGCATATGTCAAATCAGGGAGTCCGACAGTAAATCAGGGAGTATTTGACTCCAGACTCCCATTAATTTCGCACCCTGCTTATTCGGGACTTGAGATGGAGGCGTACATGATGTGGAATACATGTGAAGGAACAGAGGCAAACCAGGCAGGACAGCTGCAGTGTTGTATTGGCAAGGACTTCGTCCAAATGTTGAGTCACCGTGGCATGTAGGGAAGGCAACGACTGGAGTTCAAACCAGTGTGGAGTGCACCTGCCGCATCTGTCTGACTGCGTGTCTGTCTGTCTGTCTATCTGTCTGTCTGTCTGTCTGTCTGTCGGTCTGACTGTCTGTCTGTCTGTCTGTCTGTCTGACTGTCTGACTGTCTGTCTGTCTTGACTGTCTGTCTGACTGTCTGACTGTCGGTCTGACTGTCTGACCGTCTGTCTGACGCACCTGCGTCTGTGCGTGTTAGTGAATGTACGGAGCGTTTTTGCAGATCTGGGCCGAATGTACAGCCTTGTGTCGAAGATTCAGGACGGCCTCGGCGAGCTGCGCAACCTGCTCGAGTCACACATCTTCTCACAGGGCCTGACCGCCATTGAGAAGTGCGGCGAAGCGGCGCTGAACGTAAGCTTTCCGCAGCCTGCCGCATGCGATGCGGGTCGCCACGGCGACCGTGCCTTCGTCGACGCGGCGACGACGATGACTCGTGTTGTCACTGGCAATTGCGGTTGTGTTTATATGTCACGGAGGTGGTAGCTCTGTGATGTACATTAACCTTAGTGTAGCAAACCACATTGTATCTGAAGAGAATTTTTTAGGGCAGAGGAATTGGTCTTGCCTTTCGTTTAATCAGAAATGCCATTCAGATGTTATTCAATGTCATAGAACAGGTACAGACACTGTGTCTAGTTTAGGGAGTACCAAGGCAATCATTCGGTCCAAAGACTGCTTATAAAAGCAACTTAAAAAAAATGAAAACACTTCATGTGGCACAAAGAGGAATGGTACATACAACGTGGAAATTTTGGGAAGGGTGAGGAGGTAGTCACCATGCACAATCCTGACAATTTATTACTCTGTATGTCGCCCAGTTTTTTGGGAGGTGTCAGAGTAAGTAAGGAGGGCAACCACGGTACTTGCTGGTAGTGTTGTTGTCAAATTTGAGCCCTGTAGCCCATGTGTGGATATTTAGTCGGTACTTGTATGGTTTTATCGTTCATGTACTCGACGAATCTACTTCATTCGTGTCCATGTTCACGCGTGATATTTGTACGTGTTCCAGGATCCCAAGATGTATGTGAGCACAATTCTGGATGTGCACAAGAAATACAATGCCCTCGTCCTGTCTGCCTTCAACAATGACGCCGGGTTTGTCGCTGCCCTAGACAAGGTAGGTGGCAGCACGTGTCACATTAACAGCCCTGACTTATCTGACACCATCCTCAACATTACTTATGTGTAGATCTGCTACCAGTTTAGCCAATTGTCACATGTGCTATTACCACACAGTCAGTTGGACATTTAGATTATTCTTAATGTTAAATTTACCCATGGACGTTATTTATTTTGTCCTCCGTATTCTCCCTCACTCCACTTTCCTGTCTGTCTCTCTAGGCTTGTGGTAAATTCATTAACAACAATGCGGTGACGAAGATGGCCAATTTGTCCAGCAAGTCACCGGAGTTGTTGGCACGGTACTGTGATATTCTTCTGAAGAAGAGGTAAGCTGTTAGGTGCTGTGAAAAAAAGTATTTTTGCTGTTGCTCGATCAAGTAGCGTGTGTAGATAGACATGGTTGTGTTGCTGTGTTAAGTAAAAGTATACATTATTGCTTCGTTGACGATGTGCAAGCATTTAACAGTCATCGCTGAAAATTACTGTTCTGTTGACAGTTCGAAGAATCCAGAAGAAGCAGAATTGGAAGATACATTAAATCAAGTGGTAAGTAAATGTGACTGATGATGATAGCGAGTTGGGTAATCGTTTGCCTATGTCGTTGACCAGTGCAAACGACACTGAGGCTAGTTAGTGGTAGCAGCTGGCCTAGCATTTTACACTGTTAGTTCTATCTTGTGCTGTTAGCTTCTTTTTTAAGGTAGGGCACAGATTTGTCTATGGCACACGTTAACATTCACATGCAATGAGGAGGCCTTGATAATGCATTGCAATCACAGATGTTGATTAGAGTCTTAGAGATGTGATTACGTGCGACTGGAGTCCTTATAGTCTTGCACGCAGAGCAGTTTGTGCTGCTGCTGTACGCACAATGCCAGGTAGCGCCACCTGGCTACGAGTAACACTCACTGTCCGCGCGATTCTCCGCAGATGATCGTGTTCAAGTACATCGAAGACAAAGACGTGTTCCAGTTTTACAGCAAGATGCTTGACAAGCGGCTGGTGCAGCACATGTCAGCCAGCGACGATGCCGAAGCCAGCATGATCTCCAAACTGAAGGTACGACCGCGCGTGCGGGGCAGCGTCATCAGTTGCCACAGGGGGGCAGCATCATCAGCTGCCACAGGGGGGCAGCATCATCAGCTGCCACAGGGGGGCAGCGTCATCAGTTGCCACAGGGGGGCAGCATCATAGGTTGCCACACTGGGCAGCATCATAGGTTGCCACAGGGGGGCAGCATCATAGGTTGCCACAGGGGGCAGTGTCATAGGTTGCCACAGGGGGGCAGCGTCATAGGTTGCCACAGGGGGGCAGCATCATAGGTTGCCACAGGGGGGCAGCGTAATAGGTTGCCACACTGGGCAGCGTCATAGGTTGCCACAGGGGGGCAGTGTCATAGGTTGCCACACTGGGCAGCGTCATAGGTTGCCACAGGGGGGCAGCGTCATAGGTTGCCACACTGGGCAGCGTCATAGGTTGCCACAGGTGGTGCTACGCTCATGTACCGTCAGCGATCGCCGGAGACGTCGGTGGGAATTGTCGATTTGGAGGCGTGGCATCTGTGGGGGGGGGGAAATGTTGAGATTTTAGCTATGCATGAGCGAAGATTGTGGCTGTAGAGCAGTTGTTGGGGCTGTTAAAAGTTTACGGTCGTGTGTTGGAATTTCGTTCAGGTTGTATGTTTTCTGTGTTGCTCGTGAATTATTAATCGACTACCGTTCGTGTTTAATTCGCTCTTTTTCTGCGTGTGCTGAACCTGCCTAACCCTAACCCTAACCCTAACCAGCTGGTAAATTGCGATGCGGAGACTGTCGTTCTTGCTAACCGCCATTTTCGTCGACCTACGCAGCGAATGCTTCCATCGTTATTGTGTTAATATATTGCGCTTAAAAGTTTAACCAATCTTGAGGTAAGTAATTGCAGAAATAAATCGTGAAACGTGCCGATGAAAATCCATCGGCAGGTGCTCCACAGAAAGGTATAGGATCGATTCGTAGCCCTGTTTGAGCAGGGCTACGTTATCGTATCTAGTGCTAAATGTACTAATATTTTACTTATATATGGCAAAAAAAATTATTTGTCATACAGTATTGAAATTTTCACATTTGTTATCCAGGGATCAAGTTGATGGTTTTGTCATTTTTGTTATTATTGTCCAAGGAATGAAGCTTCAGTTTACCATTAATACCTAATATATTAGTAAGAAGTACCTGAAACTCTCACTGTAGTTATGAATTGTTTTATAATTATATAAGATTATATTTTGATTGTGTATGGTTAATGTTAATTTTTGCTATCGATTTGTGGTCAACAATATTTTGGGGCAATTTTATGTTTTTATAAGTTGCCTAATAATTTAGCTATTATTTTTGCAATTTTTTTGCCAAGGTTTATTGCAATTACAATATCTTTTCAGAGCAACCCAAAAAAATAAACGGAACTTTGGGGCTTTTGTGTATCTGTCATTAATGGTCATAATAACATATATATATATATATATATATATATATATGGTCATGGTCATATATTAGTTTGTGGTTTAATGTCATTTAGGGTAGGGTTAGGGTTAGGGTTAGGGTTAGGATTATCAATCATTAATTATTAATCATTCATCATTAATGATATCAAAGTTGGGAACACTCCTAATGGAGCGTTAGCCATTTTCTGCATTTACCAGTTCAGCACTGCAGCACAATTAGTTTAGTAATTACCAAGAGATTCGCTCTCGGCTAATCACCATTCTATACGGCAGTTGAGCCTTTTTGCCCACCGGGTAAATTTGGATATTATGCGCGTCGTGTGCAAAACCGCACAGGGCAGTTCCAGGGAGCATTTGCGTATTCAGCACTCGTGCGCGCTCACGCACTTGTGAGTTGTGACACGCGTTGTGTCTCCGTCCGGCCGAGCAACAAGCAGACGCACGTGCGACGACGTTCTCGTATCACGGTCGGGTTAAACCGCAGCAGCGACGATTCCATTTGCATCGTGTCAGCGTCCGATGTGACGCGTCGACGATGCACTAGATTAGGTTATCGGGTTTCGCTCGTGCGTTCGATTCTCGACTGAAGTAAGTGCTGGCAGCACACTCGCTCGGCTTGGCGAACGCGCGCTCTCGTAAAAACATTTCCACCGGGATTAGTCATTGAAGGGAAACGTCTTGTCTACAAATCAACACAAACACTCACGTGGGCAAGGATGTTTTCAAACAGAGGGAAGTGAAGGAGCTATAACTTATAAGGTTAAACCACCCACACATACATACCAGCCCAAACACCCCCGCAGGTGTGTGAATCGAAACGCTCTCGCTAAATCTCAGTAGGGGTCGAGGACTCGAGAGACGTGTGTTTATATCGAGTGTCTAAACTCAGCCAGCTCTAGCCCTGTAAGTCACCTTTAATCATCGCATTACTTCTTTCGGAATTTTTGCGTGTCGACGCAGGTATCCCGTGGCAACGACGACCACTAGCAGACGCAGCATGCCGCTCAGCGTGCAGCCGGTGAGATGATCGACGCGAGGAAGATGAAGGATGGCCCGGTCACCACGGCGACGGTACGGGACGAGGATGAGGAGGAGGTGGTTAGGAGGCAGGGGATGGGCGTGCGCTCGCGCTCCCTCTCCTGCCAAGCCCTGCAGCTAGCCGTCTCCAACCTGAACCGACTCGACGACTTCCGCAGCATCGAGAAGATTGGCAACGGCTTCTTTTCCGAGGTGTTCAAGGTGAGCGTTAGCTTGAGCTAGCAAGGTGAGCGTGCGTGGGCATGGTCACGTACGTGTGTAGTTACGACGTATTCTCAGTGGAATGAGCATGATCAATTATGATGCATTCCTTATATGAGGTGTATGTAATGTATTATATGTATATTCATACAGTCAGACCTATACTGCAACTCTATAACTGCTAGCCTATACTGAAAGTAAATACCAAAAGTGGCCTTTATAGACAGGTGCCCGTTCTATAGAGGTGCACACTAACACGGGGTTGATTATATGGCTGCATATATATACTTATTTGTATGTGTGTGCTTGCGTGGGCATCCGTGCGTGCATGTGTGTATATATAAAAAAGACCTCCGGCTTTATCATTTTATATAGTCCGCATATCATTATTGTTTTATATATAAAACGTTGATTGAACCGGTGGTTTATTGCACACGCAGCTATTCGATGCATATAAATATTGGCTCGTTCTGCGGGGCTAAAGGCTATGTCGCAATTTGCCATTTATAGTGCTGCCATAGAAATTGCATTGCAACAGTAAGATTTGCTGGGAGTGATATGTGGTTTCTACGCGCAAAATAATTGCCAGGGATCACCGAACTATGAGAGGAAGGCGCGGTAATTTGACAAAAAAGCAGACGTGGAAGGCGTAAAATCCCAAAATGCGAATTATTGACAAAATTCGTGACAAACGTACACTGTACTCATTGTGCCTGCTGCGGAATACGTGACTCTAAGTAATTTTCAACAGGTGCAGAGAGGTTTACATGAAGGATAAAGGCAGCACTGCCACTAAAAACTGGATCGAGTATTTGTTTGGTGCGTAGGAACAATAAACATGCTAAACAGCAAAGATTGACAATAATTTACGGAAAATTTGATTCGCCGTATATGTACGCACTTCCAGGTTTCGACAATAGTGCGTTTGTGTTAAATGGGAAATACTAGTCGGTACAATAGTTCTTTGTGCAAGACTGAAGCGGATTTGTGTCCTGCATTGGATTTCTACATTCCTGTCCCCACACGCGCATGCTGCGGTGTACGTGGACTGTACCTATGATATTGTAGACGCGTTATGCGCACTACGGAAGTCCGCTGACCTTCCCGTCTCTGTTTGTACATTCCCCCTGACACCGGTTGCGTTCCCGCATCGCCATCACTTCCCTGGCGTGTGGGATTTGCCCGCTTACAATATACTTAACGCTATACTTGTGACGTGCTTGCTTCCTAGAGCCTTCTGCGTCGTAGCACCGTCCTGACGGTCTCGCGTGCTTTATTTCACTCCGGACATTTTGCGCGACTGTCAGACACTTGTTTCGCGTGCTGCAGCACCCTGGAAGGTTTCACGTTTCCTCTACCCCCGTTCACGCACGAGCGAGAGCAGCGTGAGTGCATGCAGAGAGGAGAAATGGCTGCGGCCCGGCGCATACTTGTGAAATAAAAACGTATCGTAGCGGCAACCGGCCGATATTTGTTACACTGGCTTCGGGGAGCCGACTGTTGATGGAGGTTGCAGCGCAACCACAGGTTTTTCCATGCTTCATTACGTAGGAGGGAGGGGGGGCGGCTCGTCGGCAGCAGCAGAAGCGGAGACGTGAGGTCCTGTTAAAGGGTGGCAGACGTTCCGGTTGTTAATGTGGGGTTAGGTCTGCAAAAACACTGTCCTTAGGTGCCGTGCATACTTACTCATGCATCATCTAGCAGCGTGAATCGTAGAATTTCCTTTTAATGCCATATTTTGCTCCACTGAGCACGAACGTACGGCAGACCACCACATCGAAAATAGCGAAAACCAGGCTAAAGTCTCGGGAAGGAGAGCTTGGGCCTGGCATGGACTCTTAACGACCTTTTTTTATTAACTATATTTACAAATATCCCTCGCAGGTTGGCCTCGTATATTTTGACTCCCCCCCCCCTTCCCCTTCTCCCGTCCCTGAAGCCAATCCGGGTGAGATGATATATGATTCTGCCCTCGCTCGGAATTTGATCGTGGAGGTTAACAGGCGTATGCTGCGGAGATTCGTGGGCTAACTGATCAGTGGAGAACGCGGTTAGTTGTGTTTCTCCGATCGCCACCTGGTGTCACTTCCGTTGTGGCAGTCTCTTAATTGACGTCTTTTTTCGGTCAAATCGCGGCGAAAAGCATATATATGTATCGACTGGAAACGACGGTCTTCCACATTTTGCTTGTTAGTCGCGTGTAGTTTACGGCTCGCCTTTTTTATATGTGTAGCAGATGTTTTAGAAGAATCCCTGCTGTCGACCCATCCCTGACATGCTGCATGTTGTTACTGCAAGCGAGGAATCAATGAAGAGTGGCCTAACTACGTATATATGCTCTCTATGTACTAACTACTCACTACACCGATTACGCACACTACATCACTACTACTGCTCCTAAATTTACACCTACTGCACTACCCTACACACTACATCTACACGCGCGCGCACACACACGCATGCACGCACGCACGCACGCACGCACACACACACATTTTTGTTCGGATCACTCCTAATGGAGTATCACCCGTTTGCGAGCTAGTTTTTCTTGAAAGTATCACGATAGGTATCATATCAGGAAGGATGTATCATGGGCTACCCATACCATTCCATGCCTAGCTATGATGCAGATTAATGAGACATTAATTATATTATGATAATTACTCATTAATCTGTAATAATCACTATACAATAATCCATATATTATATAATATGTAATAATGATATTATGTGTTAGATTATACTAACAGTTCTTCCATTTTGATATGCTTAGTTTTAAATTTTCAAAACATGAAGTGATGATGACTGGTCATAATGCTTATGTGATATATTGGCATATCGACTTTGTTTAAAGGTATTAAAAAAGTGTATAAGAAATGAAATTTTGCTTAAACTTTCAATTTTACATTATGGAGCATGACATAAAAATTCCAAGTATTTTTTGTAGTCAGAAGAAGATAAGAAGCAGAAACCAAGGGGCTTTCTTCAACTTGCTGTGAGTATTGTAGTTAATGTTGCATTAAATAATGTTGCATGAATTAGTCAGCGGAGCTAGACTAGGGGTTGTTTTAGTAATAGTCTATCTAGACACAGCGTCGCGCATTTTGTGTGGCTGCATTGATGTTTAATACAGGGAATTGGTTAAGCGTGTTTTAGGTTGGGCAGATTCACGGGTCATTGTGAAATGAGCGTAGGGACATAGGGGGGTTAGTTACATATGTTACAATAACATATTAGCAGTTGTATCATACAGTTATAATTGTATAGTATAATTGTTTGATCTGCAATTACATTAATGAATATTATTTTTATCATTTTTTCGATCAGCAGAATTTAAGAGACGTGCCCAGTACATGTCATGGTATTTGATTTTTAATTGTTTTCTGAAATGATGCCTGATAGTGTAACAATAAATAATTGCAATTCTTGGAATTGTGTCATCACAATGACAGATCAGCTAATCCTATGAGTCTTAAGGCCCCCGCATATGGTGAGATTTGTGCTGAGCACCGAGAGTGAGTTTCGTGCGCAGCAGGAATCTCTCACCCCCGCACACGGTGAGGTACATGCTGAGCACGGATCTTACGAGGAGGGTGAACTGTAGGTCATGTAACTGATCAAAATGCCGGAACCAATCAAAATGCGCCGCTACTGAGTTTCGTGCTCAGCAGGAGTCTCACACCCCCGCACACACTGAGTTTTCAGCCTCGCGAGACGAAAATTATCAAACATGACAGATCTTTTCCTCACCACCTCGCGAGACCGAAATCTCACATAAATCGACCCTGCACAATGCACATGGTGAGATTCATCCCCGCACACGGTGAGATTCGTGCTCGGCACGAATCTCACCGTGTGCGGAGGCCTTTATGCTATCCTAGTGTTTCTTTGATGAGTGTTCACTTGCACATATGCCTCACATATTGCGTCGTTACCAGGGAGCTGTGATATCGCCGAGTGATGAGGATTCCCACACATTTACAGTAAATACGGTCGGAGGCGACGCATTCAGACTGAGAGGTATGTACCACGTGGGGTCGTGTAGCGTGTTCGAGGATTCTTCCTATCGTAGAAGTGACCCAATCTTGCTTTCTTAGTTGTTTGAGGCTGAATGATGAATAACAGAACAACTGATGTGCTTGCACGAATGATTGCCTCGATATGGATATCAAATTAATCGGGCTGCTTAATATTTTTTTTCATCAAAGAAAGTTCAATAAGTAATTTGAATAAACTGTATTAACACTACCTGCTCCAGTTGTCACAGTTGCACTGTGTTTATAACATGACCGATGTTCTTTCCTTTCAAATTTTGCTTGACTATCGGATATTTTGGGTTTACGCTACATTTTCCGAGAACGTGAATCTTGCATTGGGCAAGCGATTACCATGTAATGAAATGCCCGGATCGGCTTTCAGCTTATGATGCGAAAGAGAGACAGCACTGGGTGTCGCGATTACGAGCTGTTACTGAGATCCACACAGATAATCTTGCTGCTGTGAGTAACCATTTTTGGATTCATTTCAATTCATCACATCAGCCACACACGTCATCTGTCAAGTAGGACGAATAGTGCTATACTAGATTCAACATAAGCGATTTCCCTTGCCAGTAGATTGGTTTGTATGTCCAGGCCCGTAGCCAGGGGGGGTTCGGGGGGTTCGAACGAACCCCCCCCGAGCCTCCTCCCCCCCCAAGCAAAAAAAATAATTTGTTGAAAATT